TTCAAACATTTAGATATGCAAGAACTGAGGAAAAAAGATCAAATACAGAAGTATTATATATAGCAATACATAATATTAATAGTAAAGATATGAGAACTTATAATGCACCAAAAACAGATGAAGTAGCTATAATATATGGTTATAAAAGTGATGAAGAGAAACCAAATAAAAGAGATATTATTATTAAAAGAAATAATAATATATTAATAAGAATATCAGAATTTCATGATGCTTATGATTCTTTACAATATCCAATATTATTTCCATTTGGAGAATATAGTTGGCATAAAAATATATTAAGAGCAAATGTTCAACAAAAAGAAATAAAGATGAAAATATTGATATACAAGAAGAATTTCTTAAAATAATTGAAGAAGAAGAAATTGTTGACCAATTTGAAGAAGATGAAGAAGATCAAATTGCTAATCAAGTTGCTACAAATATTATTAAAGATTTTAATTCAAATTTAACTGCAGGTATAACTAAAGATCAATTAAGCAAATTTTGGCAACAAAGAATTAATAATTATATACAAGAGGCTAAAGAAGATATTCAACAAGAAAATAGTCAACAAAAAGAAATTCAACAAAAAGAAATTATTGAAGTTGATGACTTTTCAAAAACAATGTCTATTGAATTTGACAATTTATTACAAAGAAGTTCAGGTTTATCAGGTGTTTTTGATAATATAGCTTTTAAATCCTCTACAAGTATGAGTATTAGTGAACTTAGTGAAGAAAAAATTATAGAAGAAGAAATTAAATCTCAAACTGAATTAGAAAAAGATAATATTGAATCTCAAACTGAATCAGAAAAAGATGATAATAATAGTAGTATATCTAAAACTCAGCAGAAAAAAACAGATAAAGAAAAATATAAAGAAATTGTTGAATCTGAAAATAATGATAGTGATACTGATAATAATAATGATGATGATGATAATACTACTTCTGAATCTGAACAATCTAAACAATCTGATAAAGAAGATTTAGAATCATCAAATATTCAACAAAAAAAAAAAGAAATACAGTAACTATTAGAAAGTTTGCGGTATATAGATTTATGATTAGAGACTCAAACAGAACAAGTAGTATATTACATCGTGCAGGAAGGTTATTTCAACAATACATAGTAGATCAATATGTAAAATGGGAAACAAATAATTTAAATTGGTAATATAATAATCATGCAAAATTAAGAACTGAAATATATCATGGATTAAATGATATAATTTATAATGAAGATGCTAATTTAAATCAAGTTGGTAACCAAATAATATTGTCATCAAGTTTTACAGGATCTACAAG